ACAAGTTCAGAAGTTCGAGGTTTGGTGTCAATTTTCCTCTGCACTGAAGTTGTTCATTCAATAGTCTTTGTAATCAACTCTGTTAACGGCGATAGATTCCTAGAATTTACCGAGCCGAACAGAAGGATTAACTGTACGATATCCTTATTATATGAAATAATTTCCTTGTGAGAAAAACACAAAGAAATGTAGTAGTTTTGTAATCTTTCCGTGCAAGTTTATTTCAGCTCAGTCCTGCAGGTATGACTTGAAATGAAAAAATTGTAAACTGACTTATTATGGAGAAAGGAAGGTAGCTATCAAATTTTCGCCCCGGTTATACGAACGTAAGGCTAATTTTCCTAATTAAAATTCTGTAGAAATCATGACAAAGAAAATAATATTGGTTGCTAAGGAAGCCCAACAGCAAATAGGAGAAACGAATGGCTTGTGGCTGGAACGATATTAAAATCGTTGCATGCCGAATGAATAACAAAACCTTCCAATTTAGCTGTATGAAAGAAAAATGCAATAGAAGACATTTAACTAAACAATATTATTAATTGATTGATAACTCAGCTAGTGAAACAGTTGTTAAAGATCATATCGACCGTACCCCAAGCATCTTGCGCTATCACTATATTGTTCAGTGAAGTATTTTGAAAGCTATTTTTTAGACGGATCTGTCTTATCTTTTTAAGTTTAGTTTTTGTTTCATTAATTCTTGTTTTTGTCCACGTACTGTTTCTCCTGTTTTGATCTTTTGTTTTTACTTGTACTTGAATTTATGCTTAGCTCACGAATTCACTTATTGCCATATTAGGAATGTAATTATTCGCTTGGCATTGTCAGATGTCAGTTTTTTACAGGTAGTCGTGTTTGTGGTGTTAGAGCTGTCCTAGGTTCTTTGGTACTTGTCAGTTGCGGCTATGCGTAGGCTAATCTATTCCGTAACAATAGCAGACCTGTTGCAATGTTAGCGATAAGATATACAATGGAAACTCTTCCGGTCAGTTAACCCAAACATGTCCAGCTTTGGCACACATGAGATGAGAGGTAGTCAAAGCTTGTTGCAATATAACTATCAAAATTCACCTGCATCTAGATGTTATGAAAAACCTATAGATACAAAACCTTGTTCGGTTGTCGTAACTTGGAATAACCGTCGCAATTCATCATAGTCAGTGGTAATTTATTATGCGCTTTTGTCGTAATTTGTAATAGACCTGTCGCAATTTGTTAGAACTAACTGCCGCAATTTAGACTAAATTGAAGGTGCATTTTTTTTAACCGGCTAAGGTCACGGTTAATTCCATTCAGTGTTAGAAATGACCGACCACACTAATTTAGTTGTAAGGAGAATAATTAAGAACGAATATCCAGCCAGATCAGAGCTATTAATAAATACTAGATTAAGATCGGCAATGTTGGAGTGTCCCTCTCCATTTGACAAAATTGTTCTCTCTAGTACCGCTCTTTAGCAGGTCTGGAACAATAACCAAAAGGCGCCGTGGCTTGGGTCGGGTCGATGTAGTTCCATTGGGCAAGTGGAATTTCTAACATTTTAACCGGAATTCAATTGAAAGCGCCCATTGGCTTTGAATTACAGTGGTTAAGACACGTAACAATCCTCATTTTCCTACCGGCAACTGTGTTGCGACAGCTCGGTCAGTGACCTACTGCGCATGCGAAACACATATGAGAAATTACCAAGTTTATGACAAAGAAGGAAAATAAGAAGGACTTCAGTCTAGTAACATACATCTGCCAGTGAATAACTCACAACCTCCTGATATTTTTGGGAAGAGGATATTTTTCTTTTTATTTGTAGTTAATAAGAACTTCTCTTAACTGCCGTTACTACGGATGGAGACCTGGTTTTGGATTCTTGGCTGCGTCCTTTCCTTTCTTGCCGTCACTGGAAATGGATTTATAATCTTCCTCGTCTACAGCAGACGAAATCTCCGCACCAAAACCAACGCGTTTATTGTTTCACTTGCAGTAGCCGATTTCTGTGTTGGTTTGAGTGTTGTTCCTTCTTCGTTCGCATGCGACGTTACAAACACATGTGACTGGCCTAAGGTTTTTCCTTCGTGGGACGATGTCGTAAGGTGGCTGTTTAGCTACTTGTCTGTTTTAAACTTATGTTCTCTGGTGCTCGACCGTTATATCGCCATCGTAAAGCCTTTTAAATACATAACTTTTATGACTCGATCTCGTGTTATTCAAGTGATAACTTCCTGTTGGATAGCGTCATTTACGCTGGTTGCGTTCAAGACCGCACTTCGACTTTGCTGTGAGACCCCTCTGACCAGTATCGTTGCAGTTGTGGTTTTAATGATTTCCATGGAAATCGTTCCATGCGTTCTGCAGATATTCTGTTTTGTGTCAATGTTACTTCATGTATGGAAACATAATCGGTCAGCACGCACCCTAGCAAAACAGTTGAGTTTTAACCATGGCATATCTTTTAAAACCCATCACGAGAGGTCTGCAGTAGTAATGATGAGTATTGTGATAGGAGTGTTTGTTGTGTGCTACGGAATATATTTACGTTGCAGTCTCGTAGTACTATCCGACACAAATGCATCATGTAAAGATGAACAATACAAAACTCCTGTCTTGGTTTTAAACTCGGCCATTAACCCACTGTCTTATGCTTTTTTCAAAAGAGACATAAAGAAAGAGTTTAAACGACTTATCGGTCAGGTGCCAGTTTTTAAGTACAATAACCAAGTAGAGCCTTCCACTTATACGTTAGAACATTCTTGAAGGACAGAAATAGCCCCTTTTATAACGGGATTGCGTCAGGCAACGCGGCAGTTTTGGGGCTGGAAAATCACTGGCTGTTGGTCTCAAATCATATTTTTGAGGCACTGGTGTTTAACGAGGGTACGAGAACCCAAGGAAGATGAGAATACGATCCAGTATATGTCAGGTGCACTTGAAACAATTCCGAGGTATCAAGCCCACGTCAACAGTAGTAGTAGACTAAATTTCTTATTGAAACATTTTTGTTTCAAATCAAGTGATCGTATTTCTTTTTCCTTTCTTTATTTTCTAAAATACCTTTTGTAATCAACTCTGTCAAGTAGTTTCCTAGATTTTAAACAAGCATGAAGTAAACATTTTGGTTTTTGTGTAGGAAAAGAATTGTATTATTTTTTGACTTCCCTGCAAACTGATAGTTAATTACCCTCAGTCCATGCCAGGTGTGAATGAATATTAAAACATATAGAGCACGATCTGTATGATCATTTTAATGTATACATCATGATCATTTGATATCTAATACAACCAACGTGGGAGATTCCCTATGGCGCGGCGAAAAGCCATCTCTTTCTTTTACACAAGTTTTAAAGCAGTTTCTACTGATAACAGTGGAAGACTTTTTGAATAATTTGTGATAATCGTCTCAATTTGCAGTAGCAGTTGTAATTTGGTCTTTGTCACTATGAAATTTAGGTCTTTTGTTGTCTGTTTAAGGTTGCTCGACTTGACTCCTCGATTCATGAATCGCATCCTGAGTGATGTGAAATTAAAACCTTTGTTATTGAAGCTCATTGAGAAAAGATTCTTAAATTTCAAACCACAAGAAATTAAGAAGGCCAAGGGATGGATTAAACGGCAGCTGGAAATTAGTTAAAAATTTTAACTGACAGATGAGAAATAACAACAAGTATTGAATGACGCTGAATACATAGACCTGTATAATTCTTCAGATCGCACAAAGCCGAATTCAATAATTTCTTTTTTATTCCTTCCAAAATATTTATATCTATACTACCTATGCTTACCTGAAACGATACCATAGAGTTTGTCAGTTCCGACGGTAATGAATACAGGGGAGATTTAAAGAATGTGTAGTCCATCAGATATTGTTTAAAACGTAGTTATCTCATCCGTGGTATTTTATCATAAAACCTGATAGTCTTGGGCAGTAATAGTACTCCTGGGTATTTCATTTTCTTCGCAAAACGTGCCAGAAATTTTCGGTTATTTTTTTATTTGCCTAATTGTGTAAATTATCTAGTATGCAAACAGTTGTTCTCTTCGATCATTGGTCAAGAGGTGGAGAGAATCAACATAACATCGTCAGAAAGTCTGAACTATAAAATAACAAGCAGGCTTTAATTTATCAAGGAGGAAAGAAAAATGTATTTTTTATCACAGCCATTAAAATTTGTTGTAGTCTTATTCGCCCCACTGAAACGAAAGAAAAGATGTTTCTGCAGATCCTTTTAAAATTTGTGATAAAAAAACTAACCTAAAACTAAACCCCCCCCTTCCTGCCCCTGGGAGAAAGAACTTCCTTTAACTGTTAACATGGAGACCTGGTTTTAGATGCTTGGCTGGTTTCTTTCATTTCTAACCATCATTGGAAATGGATTTACAATCTTCCTCGTTTGCAGCAAACGAAATCTTGGCACCAAAACCAACGGGTTTATTGTTTAACTTGCCGTGGCAAATGTCTGTGTTGGTTTGAGCGTTATTCCTTCTCTGTTCTTCTGCGATATTACAAACACCTGCCACCGGCCACAACATTGGCTCTCGTGGGTGAATTTTACAAGATGATTGTTTAGTATCAAGTCTTTTGAAACTTATATGGCCTAGTACTGGATCGTTTTATTGCCATCGTCCATCCTCTAAAATACATTACTTTTATGACTCGCCGTCGAATTACCCAAGTTATTTCCTTCTCTTGGTTTCTAACAGTTAGTTATAATATGCTGAAAGTTACCCTTTAAATGTTTTATTTCAAAACAATAGACATTCCAGTAAACAAAGGCGCCAACTCGAGGCTCGGCAAAATAGAGCGATTTGTATCCACCCGAGCCTTACCTATTTATGTTTGCTCATTGGTGCGTAATGCAGGAAAGGTCTATGCCTCCAGGAGGGCATTTTGGGTGCGCATGCGTGTATCCGCTGAACGACAATGGCGTGGGCGCATCAAATCTGATGGCGGGGAAATCGAAAACTCGCATAAAGTTACAGGCCTTTTAAAAGCCATTTCGTTGGTGATTTGAATACCGTTCTTTCCTACAAAAAATGTTCTCCATGACAAAAATCGGACGTTTTCTATGCGGGTTTTCAGCTGTAGATTTTTCAGCAATAGGTTTTCTTGACCTTTTAAAGACTTAAAAAGACTCAACGCCTAAAATCACTGTTCCTGTATCAGATCTGAGTTTCACTGGCAAAGCAATGCATTTCAATGGTTTGATTTACAAACTCATGGTTTTACCTTTCAACGAAGAAATGGATTTTAGCAATGTTGAGCTGCTTTAAGAAAAGAGAACAAAATTTTTACTACGCGAGGTCTATTTATTTGCGCGATGTCTCATGTTAAACTGATCACGGAGACACCCGTTTATGTGTGACACAAAAACATAAAACATGAAATGTATGGGTATTTTTTTACTGTTTTTCGAAAGTTTTCGGGGAAAAGTAATAAAAAATATTCTACAGGAGATAAAGAATGGATTAAGTCTGAGACAGCATCACTTACAGGTGATTATGTACTACGTATAATCTCTTGAGCATTTCATAAGCTCACTTGCAGACAAAACAAATGCATTCAAAACAGATAATGGCCATCACTCCATAAATCTAACTGACGATGATTGTTCACCCTCAAAGCCTGTTAAAAGGTAATTAAGACAGGACGTTTGTTAGAGGGGTGCATATAATGCTGTTTCCTCAAAAAGAGAAATACTTCTGCTTAAGGACCCAAATGAATTGCGATGCGACAACAAACATTGCACGCCGAGGATGGATGAATTTGTCTGTTATTAATGTTTCTACTGAGAGCTTTTTATAGCATCCAGATGAACGTAGATAGAACCCTATGGGAAGAATTATCAAGAAGATACTGATCTAACTGATGCATTAAATACATATTTGGTTCAATACAGAGGAGAAGCTGGTCTCCTGGTCTCACAAATTAGCATGTCGAGAAATGTAGCATCCACAAAATGGCATCATTTAGGAATAAATGCAATTTTTTTTTGCAACAGAAGCCAGGATTTATTTAAAGGTGTATTGATAACGTTTCATTTCATGCTATTTTCGGGTTGGGGAGTTAGGCTAGAGTTTCTTTAAAATGCTTAAATGTTATCAGTATTCATTTGCATAATGAAATGTAAACAAGCAGTGTGCCATCAAAATAAGGTGGAAAAAATCAGAATTTAAACCGATCGCTGTAATTTTCTTCTTTTGTATAACTGAGTGATAGAATTTTCTTATTTTCAAAACACAATCTTACTGCCATCATTATATTGAATTAAATTTTTAGTTGAAGTGCGTGTATTTTATTTCTCAACGAGGAAGTAACGGTGAAGAAAGCTAAAATTACTGAAGAAGGCAATTTTTCAAAGCCTTCATTAAAGCACCATTCGTTCGCGGAAGTATTCTTAGTTTCATTAATCATTAACTTAACGTGGGGAGAAAGGCAAAGTTTCGAGATAAACAAGCCAGCGAAAGGGTGAAAATTCAGTTCCACGGCAAAATGGCCTCTTAATTAACAACTATATTCCTGAAACGATTAAGTTCGATTTTAGAGTTATACTGTTGAGAAGAATTAAATATCTATAGGATAAATTTTTTCACGAAAAAAAAAATATGTGCGAAACGTAAGGTCGTAACAACATTCCGCTGCCATCTTGTCTTCGATGTACTCTTTTACCAAAGGAAAGACTGTCCTCTCGAGGGCGACAGCGAGGCTACAATAAACGCACTTTCATCGTAGAAATGCCTCGATACCTTAAAGAACACGTTTGTGGAACGTAGCACCCAATGTACGTCATTCAGCTCCAGAAAACAGCCTGCAAATGCTGGTAGTGAACTTGAAAAATTCACAGAAAATGCCTCTGAGGCACTTCAACAGATCATATTGACGCATGCGCAGACAAAATGCCCTCCTGTTCGTCCCTTATATTTGGCTTAGTATACGTTTCTTCGAGTTCCTTGCAAGTGTTGTATCAGGGGGGGGAAAGACAAGGTCTGGGACCGAGAAACGATGTTCTCACAACTTGCAAAGTGGTCACCCAGCATGGTGGTCAGCGGATAATTACAGTATTTTCCCCACAGTAAATATTTTAGAAGCAAGAATTGAAGCGAACCGGCAGAGGAAATCGGAAATGGTTATAAAATTGAGAAAAAATTATATCATGCAACTTTATTTTTCTTGCATATCGTATTTGTCTTTCGGTACTGAAATGCGGGGGAAACTAAAACGCAACCGTGCTAGATCTTAACCAACAACAACGCGCTCGATGGATTTATTTATAGGTTACATCGTTTTTGCCTGGCAAGGATAACTTGATGCTGATAAAAATTACTGGAGCAAGTGTCAAATTTATCGGAAGCAAGTATATTCAAGAAAGCTTTATAAATATGAGCTTACATATCATGACTGAATAAAAATTAACACTTCATAACATTTCACTCCGTTTATTTCGGTCAGTCAACACCTTGCATTGAATTTAAAGTTAAAATTCAAAACGATCCTAAAACAAATCACAACTACTACTGAAAGCTCCGTACCTTGAAGCAACTGCTCGATAGCTCAACTCTTCGGCGGCCTTTTCTTAGCAGCTATACGCAGCTAGCTATTTGTTGCATATTCCAAACTCTGCAAAAGGAAATTGTTTAACAGAAAAAGAAAACCACACATTATGTCTGAAAAGCGACATAAAATCAATAAATTTGCGAATTACCAAAATATGATAGTGAAAAACAGTCCCGCCTTGGTCTGCCATGTTTTTGTTTTTTCTCAAGACCATTGATCTATGGTTTTTCACGTAGTGCGCGTGATCAGTACACAAATCCGCTAGCGAGAGCCTTGCTGATGGCTTTGCAAGTTGTGAGAACATCGTTTGGATTTCATTTAAGAGAATGTAAAAACAACCCATGTAAGGAGTAAAAGTAAGCCCATTTCGGAGTGATTTTAACTCCAGCCTGGGAGTAAAAAGAACTCTTTTTCAGGAGTGAAAACGAGTTAAATTAGGAGTTAAAATAACCCCCCGCTTTGCTTCACTTGCTCGATTTTGGCGAACTCTAGCAAGACTTTGCATCAATCGAGTAACAAAGATAGCAACATGTGCTGCTTGTTGCTTGGATACAGTTTCGAACCCAGGCTTCATAGCCGTGCCCTTTAGACAGCAGGCTCATCGGTTTTGACCATCGGTTTATCAATCTGAAACGGACACTCGAAGTCTGAATACCAGTTTGAAAAGAGAAAACAAAATCATTCTTAGCAAAGCTGTTTCTTTCAAAAATAATTTTTTGGTGAATTAATAGTTTTCCGGCACCTCAGTATTTGACCGTAATCTTAAGCGACTTGATTAAACTTTCTCTCAGTTTCAAGACAAAAACATAACTGTGAGGTAAAAAAACATAGTCACGTAGACAATGACGCGTGCTGCTTTGAGCGCACGCTATGATAATGAAAATTTAAAGTATCTTTCTTTATCAATCTGAAATGGATGCTCGCATTCCGAATACCAGATTGACGAGAGAAAACACGATCGACAAGTTCAGAGGTTCGAGGTTCGGTGACTTCAAAGGCCCGGCGCCAATTTCCTCCGCACTTAAGATGACAAATTAGGCTGTTCGTGCAATAGTCTTTATAGTCAACTTTGTTAACGGCGTTAGATTCAGTTGTGAAGCATTTAGAAAGTTATTTTTAAGACGGATTTTTCTCATCTTTTAAGTTTAGTTTTGTTTCATCATGTGGGTCAAGGTTAGTCTTGATTGTTGTCCGCGTAGGTGTTTTCCTGTTTTGATCCTTTGCTTCTTCTTGTACTTATGAAATTATGCTTAGCTCGTGAATTTACTTATTGCCATTTTAGGATATTCATATACGCTTGTCGTCGTCAGATGGTAGTTTTTCGTAGGTGGTCGTGTTTGTGATGTTAGAGCTGACTTTGGTTTACTAGTCTCGTTGAAGTTCCTGTGTTTGGGTTTGTTAACCAGAGTTTTAGTTTTTCAGTGGTTTGTACAGGTTTGTACCCTTTTGTCGATTCCAACCATGAAGGTTCTGTCATACCAAAACATTACCCACACCGAGTTCACCGTAATTTTATTCCCACGGTCAGTTAACCCGAACATGTCCAGCTTTGGCTATAAAAACCGCTACTGTGCTTGAACTAAGGAGTAGAAGTTGGTAGAAGAAAGTTTGTGAAAAAGTGGAAGAGTTAGAAGAGTAAGAAGATCAAGATTGTTAGCAGAAGTCGAAGAAGAATAAAGGCAAGATGTAAATCAGATTCCTGGTACCTCATCGTGTAGCGAGCGAGCGAGTTGCTCGAACACACCCCCACAATTTCTTGAATTTACTGATAGAACCGAGCTGAAACTAAAACTCAGCTCAGTCCTGCAGGTGTGACTGAAATGATAAAAATCGTCTAAAGTGTTACATGACTTGTTATTTAGAAAGGAAGGTAGCTATCAAATTTATCACCTTTTTCTCCCCGGTTACACGAACGTAAGGCTAATTTTCCTTAAAATTCTGTAGAAATCGTGATAAAGGAATAAATGCAAAGATGGTTGGTTGGTCAGGAAGCTCAGTCAACCGCAAATGGAAAGACTAGTTGCTCGAAGCTGGAACGATGTTAAAAACGTTGCATGCTGAATGCAATTTAGCGATACGAAATCAAAATGCAAAAGACGACATTTAACTAAGCGATATTGTTAATTGATTGGTAAGCCATAGTGAGAATCCAGTCGTCTTGCGCCATGTACATTAAAAGGATGATAAAACAACAAGGTTTTAAAAATAACTAAGAAAGGTTAGACAAAAATTTCTGTGAAGAGGGTGTTTTTTTTTTTTTTTTGCACAGTTGATTACAACTGCCTTGAAAACTTATCGACGTTGTGGTTTTAAAGCCAGAGCGCCAATTAAAGGCTTCCACCAACATAATTGACTTTTGCACGAAATAGGTCTTGAATAAATGTAAATTGACTTAGAATAACGAGTAAAAACGAGACTGCGATAATCAAGCTCAAGGTTTACAACGGTCCGGGGCTGAGACGAAATTTCTCCTTGTAAAATTTCTTTTTCACATCGTGATCACTATATTCTTTTTCCTTGAATTAATCAAATAATAACCTTTGCGTGCTCTGTTTAGTAGCTGGAACCTTTTTTTTAAGACTATTTAATCATTTGCATGAAATATGTTATAAACTCTTTATTATTAAACACACAAAGAGTTTGGCCATTAGTGTCAGGTGAGTAGCCTGCGTAGCAAGCGTTTCCGTTTTGTTTCGGAGCAAAGAGAGACTAAGAAACGAGATTTTCGCGCGGTCTTTGACTGTCGTTCCTCGTTCTTAATTTTCTCCGCAACAAAACGGAAACGCTTGCTACGCAGGCTATCAGGTGAGCATAATCTGCGACGTCGACTACACCTTTGGCTGAAAAGTGAAAGAACTAAGAATGGAATGCATGATTCGCATACAGGTAACGTACAAAGCAGACAAAGTATTTTCATTTTTCATGATATCGAAAGCCATTTCTTCTTCAGTTTTTCAAGCGAAACAGACTACTAGGCAGATAACATGCTGCAGGCTCATATATGTCTTGTTTAATTGATATGTAATTTTATTTTCTCGCTTCTGATTGGTTAACGACAACAGCAGAAACTTACTCTAGCAAACAGCTTAGTAGCTCGCTGTATATGATAAGAGACGGTCTTTTGTGTTGCTGAAGTACCTATAAATATCGCATGATTTTCATGAACGACGAATATACTGTCATTTCATTGATCAAGATTTGTCAGAGGTAGGAGGTGAGAGGTAGTCAAAGCTTGTTTCAGTAACTATAAAACTCACTTGCATCGAGATGTTAAGAAAAGCCGAATACAAAACCTTGTTCGCTGGACGTAACTTGGAATAACCGTCGCAATTCGTAGTGTGGTAATTAATTTGCACTTTTGTCGTAATTTCTGCTGCAATTTAAAATGAATTGAAGATGCATTTTCTAATCAGCTAAGGTCGGGGTTCCATTTGTTAGAAGTAACCGACTAGACTGGTTTTATTAGTTGTAAGAAGAATTCCACTCAAATTAGGACTATCCAGCCAGACCAAAAGAGAAGAGATTAATTCATTAATGTTAAGTTCGGCAGTGGTGGAATTAAGAAAAAATCTCGAAAAAAAACCTGTTACAGAACTTTATTTGCAAAGGGACTGATCTGGTCTATGAGTAACTGTTCTGACCTTTAAAAGAAAGGCCCTGAGTTTAAAAACAGAACCAACTCTTGCTTACGTGACTGACAGGTCACGTCGGGCGCTTTCCATTCACTCCCTTTGAAAGTTCCGTAAATTTCGGTTAGAAATCAAAAGGAACGGACCATTTCGGTTCCATCCGACCCAAAAATTTGGCTCTAGTTTGAAGGTGGTCCACTTTGACCGGTCCGCTCATTTCGGTCGGTCGGACCGAAATGTGCCATTTTAATTGACAGTATTGTTGTCCCCAGTACCACTCTTTTGTACGATCAATTACCAAACGCGTGGTGGCTTGGCTTGGGTCGGTATAACCGGAATGTAGAGTTCCATTAGACACGTGGAGCTTCCAACATTTCAAACCGGAATTTAAGTTGAATAGAAAGCGCCCATCCTTTTCATTACAACGGTTAAGTTTGCTCCTTTGACACGCGACAATCCTCATTTTACTACCAACTGTGTTGCGACAGCTCGGTTAATTACCTACTGGGAAAAACATCGAATAAGAAATTACTAAATTTATGACAAAGTAGGAGAATAAAAAGAAATTTAAACTAGTAACGTACATCTTGAATAACTGAGAACCCCCTGATGTTTTTGCGAAGAGGATATTTTTCTTTCCATTTGTAGTGAATAAGAACTTCCCTTAACTGTTTTTGCGGATGGAGACCTGGTTTTGGATTCTTGGATGGGTTCTTTCGTTTCTTGCCATCGCTGGAAATGGAATAACAATCTACCTCGTCTGCAGCAGAGGAAGTCTCCGCACCAAAACCAACGCGTTTATTGTTTCACTTGCAGTAGCAGATTTGTGTGTTGGTTTGGGCGTTATTCCTTCTCTGTTAGCTTGCGACGTTACAAACACCTGCTACTGGCCTAAGGTTTTTCCTTCATGGATCGATGTCATAAGGTGGCTGTTTAGCTACTTGTCTGTTTTAAACCTGTGTTCTCTGGTGCTCGACCGTTACATCGCCATCATAAAGCCTTTTAAATACATAACTTTTATGACTCGATCTCGTGTTATTCAGGTGATAACTTCTTGTTGGATAGCGTCATTTACGCTGGTTGCGCTCAAGACCGCACTTCGACTTTGCTGTGAGACCCCTCTAACCAGTATCGTTGCAGTTGCGGTTTTAATGATTTCCATGGAAATCATTCCTTGTATTCTGCAGATACTCTGTTTTGTGTCAATGTTACTTCATGTATGGAAACATGATCGTTCAGCACGCACCCTAGCAAAACAGTTACGTTTTAACCACCGGATATCTTTTAAAACCCATCACGAGAAGTCTGCAGTAATAATGATGGGTATTGTGATAGGAGTGTTTGTTGTGTGCTACGGAATATATTTACGTTGTAGTCTAGTAGTACTATCAGACACAAATGCATCATGTAAAGATGAACAATACAAAATACCTGTCTTGGTTTTAAACTCGGCCATTAACCCACTGTCTTATGCTTTTTTCAAAAGAGACATAAAGAAAGAGTTTAAACGACTTACCGGTAAGGTGGTTTTTAAGAAAAGTAACCAAGTAGAGCCTTCCACTTATACGTTAGATCATTTTTGAAGGACCGAGATCTTAATATTAGTTGGCAGAACTGCTTTTGATGGCGGATTGTGTCAGGCATCGCGGCGGCAGTTTTGGAGCCGGCAATTCCCTGGCGGTTTGTCTCAAATCATAGTTTGGAAGCACTGGTGTTTAAGGAGGGTACAAGAACCAAAGGACGATAAGAATACAAGCCAGTATATGTCAAATGCTCTCTTGAAACGATTCCGAGGTAGATAGATAGATAGATAGATAGATAGATAGATAGATAGATAGATAGATAGATAGATAATCTTTATTTATCCACGGTACAAAATTCGTCAGCTTTAAAAATGCCTAATACTAATATAATAAAAATATTTAAATAAAAAAGCTGCTTTCCACGAATGCCGTGCCTTACAGTTCTTTGAGTAATCGTTTAAATTGCCCAAGGGACTCTGCTTCCCTTAAGTTACAAGGAAGACTGTTCCAGAGAATGGCGCCACTATAGCTGAAGCTGTTTTTGTAATAGTTTGTGCGCGGTAATGGAACATTGAGTTTATTTTCAGAGTCCCTTAGGTTATATGCGACTTCTCGCCTTTCAAATTTAGAACTAAGATAGTTTGGAGCCAACCCGTGCAGAGACCTGTAAACCATCGTAGCTCTTTGAAATTGTTGCTGGCAAGCTAGGTTTTTCCACCCTAGAAGTTTGAAAAGGTGACCAGCATCTACGTCATAGCTTGAGTAGGTCAAAACACGGGCTGCTCTGTTTTGTAGCTTTTGAACCTTATTCCGTAAGGTTATCCCACAGTTTCTCCAGGTTTATCAAGCCAACGTCCACAGAACTGGTAGACGAAATTGGTAAATTAAAACATTTTTGTTTCAGACCAAGTGACAGTATTTCTTTTTCCTTACCTTATTTTCTAAAATAACTTTTGTAATCAACTCTAGATCTGTTAAGTAGTTTCCTAGAATTTAAACAAACATAGAGTAAACGTTTTTGTATTTGTGCAAGAAGAGAATTATAGTATTTTTTTTCCTTTCCCTGCAAACTGATGGTTAATTAAGCTCATTCCATACCAGGTGTGAATGAAATATTCAAAGCTTTCAAGCCCGATCTGTTGATATCTATATACAGGCAACATGGAGAGTTTTTTCAGATACCCTATGGCGCGGCGAAAAGCCATCTTTTTCTTACTACACAAGTTTTAAAGTAGTTTTTAATTGCCTTAAGTTTAACTGAGAACAGTGGAAGCTTTTGTAAATAATTTGTCATAATAGTCTTAATTTGCAGTATATATAGTAGCGGATGTAATTTGTTTTTGTCAGTCTGAAATTTGCTTTTCTTGTCTCTTTAAGGTGGCTCGACTGTTTTTTTTTTTTAGGGATTATACTTTTCAAGTTTGAGCATTTACTATGTCGACATTAACAAAGGTATCGGAAAAAGATTTACCACAGCTGTATTGTATGAAGATGAAAATTTGTTATGATGTATGTTTTATCGACATTTCCGGAGTTACCTTAATGAGGCCATTACGTATTTTACTTACTTTGTATTTCTCGGTAACAGGACTTTTTCTCAGAAATCACCTGAGGGAGCTTGTACCTTCCTTCACTGTCTAAATAGTCCAGTTTCGAATTCGTCGCGGCCGCTGAATGGAAGCACTGAGAACTCGTTTAGACAGTGCTAGCCTTGACCTGAGGTAAATATATTCGCAAATTCCAGTCAGAAGAAGACCTGTGTTCAACTGTGTCTATTGTTTCAAACTCCAATTCAGGCACCTTCTTCTCGCCGGTATTTGTAAATACTTTTCCTTAAAATTGCAGGTTGTAAACTGTAAATTGTAATTTGTTTTCCCACGAAGCACTTAGGAGTTCTTATAAACTCGTTTAAACGTGTCTGAGCGTTCAAGATAGAATTAGAATTTGGAAGTGTTGGTTTTTGAGGAAAAGGGAAAACCGGAGTATCCGGAGAAAAACCTCTCGAAGCAAAGGAGAGAACGAACAACAAACTGTAACTACGTTTGGAGTCGACGCCTGGATTTGAACCCGGGTCACATTGGTGAGGCCTTCCAAGGGGGGTTCTGATGTCGCTGTGTTGCTCATTTTCCAATCCACCTGTCGCCTATTTGGCTAGAGACAAATGTCGCTGTAGTTTTTTCGCTACAATACAATTGTCGCTGTAGCTTTTTCGCTAGAATACAAATGTTCGCTAAACGAGAATGCTGTGCGATTTTTTTTTATGTTTTCCCATTTATCATTTAACAAAAAGCCCCAGAAAGGCCGTGCAGACCCGAGAAAGACACTCTATTGTCTGACACCAAGGACACGCCAACGAATCACCAACGACACCAACGACCGTGTCACACAAGCGTCACAAGCGCGTGAGTACGTGTCGACCTTTGTACCACAAAAGGCAGTAAGACACTCACTGTATGACAAGTGTTGAATAATGGTTTGTTTAGGGACGGACCATTAGAAATAACCGGAGGTGGGGTGACAATCCCCCCCCAAAAAAAAAAAATCCTGCAAGGAAAACTTGTCTAAAAAAAATCCTGCGAGCGGTTATACGTAAAAAAAAAAGTTCTTGCAGAGAAAGCGACATGCATATAATTTAAGGTTATTAAAAGTATGGGATAAGGGGAAAAAGGTAACATAAAACAGTGTGAATTGAAATTCTTCATTTGTGCTTTTATTTGAAAACAACTGTTTGATATTCCGGCCAACTATCCCTCCCTTAAGCGATCATTTTGCCCAAAGTAAGAAGTAAGTTTTAATGTTAGCGTGTTAGGAAAGGGGTAGGTGGGTAGTTTCGATATTTCTTCATACAACAAAACATAAATAGTAACGGCTTGCTTTCTACACAGTCATCATTGCCAATGATATTGTTATCACAAATAATTATACCATAAAATCTCTCTCTTCAGATATAAAATGTATTTCAAAATATTTTTGATAGAACGCAATATAAGAAATATAACATTTTCTCAACTATATAACTATTTCAGTCAATTTCTGGTTAGGCTCGTTGTTTTTCTCACTGCATGACGAGCTAATTTTCCTTTTGCTGTTTGAAAGAATGATTTCTCAAGCCTGTAAATAAGTTTTGAGCCCTCTGGAACCTTTCAACGTTTCAAATTTTCCTTTTCTCGGCAACGCACCCGCAGTTTTCTCATGTTAGTTTGTGTAGTTTGTCTTCTTGGTGAGAAGTGACCCGCATTAGCCTCGCTATCGCGCAAAAACAAGCACTCGTCCAAGGCCGCCCAGAAATGAGGTGAATACGAAACTCGCCTATTGAGGTGCTACTGCTTTAAAATCTGCTTTGGGTGTCATGCTTAAAACTATTGAAAACTTACCAGTTTGTCCAGGTATATATGATCCAGCCCTTGTTGATATGGCTGAAAGAAAAAGGGAAACAAATTTATACTTTGTGGATGCAAAAGGAGCAAATGTAGATGGAGAGACTGTCAAGTGCATCAGGAGCTTAAATTGCACCTACAAACTACCTGTCCATTCAAAAACCAGATGCAACAAATGTCAAGATATTTTACGATCTTGCTTTCGTTGGAAAACAAAACCTTCATCTGAATCATTTGGCTATTCAGGAAGGTAAGCCATTCATACCATGTCGTGTTATTCCTTACTGGCTGCCCCCCAATGACTCTTACAAAAAGCTTGAAATTGATTTTTCCACTTTAAAATTTGGGGAAACAATACTTCCTGAACAATTGGGATTGACTGTTGCACAGATTGGTTTTAATACGTGAATAAAACAATAACCTTCACAATAAAAGATGCATCAAATCTATTTCTGTTTGTATGCATAGACTTGAACACTATCATATTTATAGAGTTCTTAAATTAAAAATAATTAGTATTAATTTGTTGATTCTAATATTTTGTACTTTGACAACAGAGATTCCTTGCACCCCTGATCAAAAATCATTTAATTGAATAATTACAGTTAATATTGTACAATGCAATTGCACATAGATTGTAGACTAGCAGTGTTATCCCTCTAGCATTAATATATGGAGAGACTGTTGAAGTCTAACCGTTTGCAGCCGTTTGTGGAGCCTGAACATTAATTTTATAACATGCATGTGTTTGAGGAGCTATCTATTTGCCACTCAAAAAATTACGTTTTCCTGATGTTGATTCATGCACAAGACATGCATATAAGTCTCCTGCTGTTAGAAGTAAACGAGCAAATTTCAAAACTTACCACTGATCTCTAGTGCCAACCTGTTGCAGCAGGTGGTGACTTGATGTAAGCAGATTACATTTATGTTGTCTCCACATTTTTTCATTCCATCGACTTTAAAGGGATTGATGAGAAGAACTACGCACTTTGGCTCGCTGAAACTCGGCGTGCTTCAAGCTCAATGTATCATATACCAATCCTCCTATTCTGAGATCAGGATATTGCCACACCACCTCGCACGTTGCCCGAAAGCGATAAACGATCATACAAACTGTGCCAATTTATAGACACTTCGCGGTTCCTTTCTTTGCCTCATGTGATGCTTTTGAAACTTTTTCCGACTGAACCATATCGCGAATATTTCCATGTTATTTTTCAAAAGCTCCGCCTTATTGAACAAGGCAAAAGATGAATCCAAACATTCGGAAAATTGACGTCCTTTGCAACGTAACGAACAAGAAATTTGCCCGACATTTTGAAAATCATCAATGTATGACGTGACGTCACACTGGCAGTGATCAGTGAACCAATGTTTACCCTAGAGACGGCCCCTCCCTCCTGATGGCACGTCATTTCAATCATCGCCGAAAATAAACCGCATTCTCATCACAAGATGCATTTGCATACAATGAAGACAATGAAAGTTTACAATACCCGACCATCGCAGTTTTGCTAATTAAGATTATTTTTTTTTTATTTTTTTTCAACTACTCAGTGGTGTTCACTTGTTCCAAAGTAATCAACGCTTTGAAGTGATAGAATTCGTGGACCGACACGTTTTGGAAAGCTCTAAATTTAATCTTTCCTAAACATGTACGACTTCGATCACCCAACGATTCTTTGTTCCAGCTTCCACGGTCTCCGCTCGGAACGCACAATGGCCCCTCATTTGTGTATAAATACGAACAAAAATGCGAAAACGCGTTGCAGATTATGATTCTCGCTGCTTACGCAAGCAAGACTAAGAAGTAACTTTGTTTTTGGAATATGAAGATATTGTCTCGCTGAATTAATTATTTTAAAATTTAAAAAGATTTTATGTTAAGAGGCAGGAAGAAAGGACCTCATTATTAAGGTAATCATTAAGTATTCTAAAACAGCGAAGAAAGCTACGCAGATTCGAGAAATTATATTACAAAATTTCGATTAAGGTCAACTTAGAAATTGTAATTATATATATCAACACTGCACTGACCTAGCTTCCTGTCCGTGAAATATCCAGTGTCAGTTTAGATTTAGAATCTGCGTGATTTTAAGAGGTATGGTATTCGAATTCAGCCATTCTATCAACACTCAGGTGCCCTTTCGACTACTGTAGATAGAGTTTTGATTTTGGGGCCGATTTTAAAGTCTTAAATTTAGCGTGACAAGGTCAGTTTTAATCTATTAAGTTAATAAAGGTTATTGAAAAACTGTTCGCCGAGTTTATTTAATATCGTTACTTATGGCTTACTTTTGCACACGCTGTCAAAAACAAGGCAACCTGTACGGTAAAAATGATGATGTGGCTCACTCATTTCTTGCCGTTATAGTGCAAAAGGTGCTTTACAGTCAGGTATCCGCGGCGTCATCATCAAAGAAAAATTTCACAAAGAAAATTCCCTATCTCCCGAAGGCAAATTTTTAAGAACACTAGCCGCAAAGGGGTAAAATGTGTACAAAAGTAACTCACTGGTAAAGGGTATATATATATAAATGCAAAATTTGCAATAAATTTACTCTACAGACTTCACCGCCTTGACCCTTCTGCGACTATGTTGATACTCCTCATGGGTGATATGTCTGCCTGACGTGCGCAACAGCAACTTTAGTCAATCGCGCGAGCCTGGGTAGCAGAAAAACAATTGTCCGCCTTTGAGGGGAAAGACTTTGATATGCATAGCTCTATCCTGACTGGCTTAAGGTCTCATCCGGTCAATTTGTCAATCAAGTTTGGTAGAAATACAAATATAATTCAATTCCCAATTAATTTAAGGTGAGGACTACGTTTTCTTCTGCTCTAGCTGATCGTGAAACTCTGAAAATAGTATCCAAGTCGCGATTTTCTCAAGGCAGAGTAACAAAGAGGAGTCCGAGGCCTAATTTCTTTGCGTGGGGATGTTTTAGCGGTTTATTCTGCCCCCAGGGCTCTCGTTTCTGCAAAGCTTTTTTGAGTGATTTAAATAAAACGTAAACGACACCGGTAGCGAACGAACGCCCTCCGGTTCACTTTTGGTTTTATATTCAAGAAAATTTATAATAGCCCCTGCCCGTGATAATACTTCCCTTTCTTTTCTCTCAATGCTCCAGTTGGTACTTAACTACATCCTAGAAATGCACTCGCTATTTTTTTAAGAAAAACCTTACCAAAATAGAGCCGTTGTTTCGCGATCCCCGGGTGAAAAACTAATATTATTCCGAGCGTAGCGACTTTATAATTTCGTCGCGCGCGCTGCTAACCGCGAGTGGTCTTAGCCAGCTGCAAAATTCGATGCGTCTGCGTGGCAGACGTTAAAAGGGGAAAGGAAAGGGTGCACGAGAGCGCGTGGGGCGCGCGAGGGAGAAAGGAAAGGAAAGCTTGAAAGGATGCCATTGTTTTCTCCATTTTTCACGCTCAGATTCTGAGAAGAAAAGAGAAGGAAGGGAAATAGTGATTGGTCAGAATTAATTAAATGTCAATCTTCGACTTAACACCTTTTTCCGATTGTTTGAAATAAACATCACGCTATTTGAGTAACTAAACATGTGCCGTTAGTGAATCGTGATGAGATTTCTCTACGGGAATTCACCGTTAGAAAAAAATCAATTTCAGGTTAAAAGGAGAATAGAAAAAAGCAGTTAAAGAACAGTAGTATAGGAAATGGTTATCCTGGCTCAAACTTCGAATTTCCAGAATTGCATTAAAAAAACTAATAAAATCCCAGAATATGCAAGGGATTTTAAGAATGAATACCTTTTTAGAAGAGGTATTAATAAGGAATTTAAGTATTTTGTTGATAATATAAATGAAGCATATCGTGGATTATTTGAAAATCATAGATTTGATAAAATAAAAAAAAAAATTTTTGTTAGCTCAAAAATTAGGTTACCTTAATGATGTTAGTAATTTTGAGATTAAAAGTAGTGATGTTGATTACTTAATTAAGATTTAAAAAAATTTTCATAATTTTAAACAATATATTAATTTTTGTAAATGTTGCTATGATGATGATGATGAACTTTTTATTGATCCTTATCCTGGTTTTAAAAACATTTATGATGATTACGAATTATTTTGTAGTAAGTTTAAAATAAAATATGACGAAGGTATTAATAGTTTTTGGGATTATTGTACTGATAGTGATAGTGATAGTGATGGAGTTAATAGTGATGATCTTGAGGTTATATTATCTGATAGTGATAGTGATTAATATTTTTAATCTTATAACATTTTTTTTGTTATAAGATGAATTTTTTTTGTTTTTAAATTAACTTAAAAAAATATAGTTAATAAATAAAAAAATGATTATATGTTCTCCTGAAATGAATAAATTTATTATACCCCCTGATTTTAAATTTAAACTTTTTGATTTAAAAAAAAATAACACTTTAGCAAGAAATCATCCTTTTTAGCATTTAGTTTTTATGTTAATTAAATATTCTGATGATTTTTTAGAAAATGAAGAATATGATAATGATCCATATTTAGATGAAGATTATTTTATTTCACTTGATAGATATTACAAATTTGGCATTACTTTTGAAAATAGTGATGTTTATTATAAAAAAAAATTATACGTATTTGAAGATTTTGAAGAAAATCCACCATATAGATATATATTAAGAAATAGATATGATTTTAAAAAACTTGTATTTAATGATGTAAAGTTAATTAACCTTGATGATTTGGATAATGGTAAAATAATTCATTCAGAAATAGAAAAATGGAAAAGAAAAGTAATAAAAGATCAAAAAGATAGGAGAAGTAAATTAAACCTTTTAGATCCAAATATTTACCATAGTTTAATTACATTTGTTGCTTTCTCTAATTTTGAAGGAAGATCTCATAATAAGATTGAAAATTATTTTACTTATGAGGGAATAGATGAAATTCATAGAGATATTAATAATTATAAAAAAATATATAATTATACAAAAATTTATGAGGATAAAATTTACAATAAGATTAAGAAATATTCAAAATAATATAAACAAATAATAAAAAAATGGAACCAAGATCAAGAGAAACTACTCCTACAAAGGAGGATTTGGATTTTATAGTTGATGATGGTTATAGACATGATGTTGATCCAGATTATGTTCCAGTTTATGTTCCAGATGAAAAATATCTTGTTAGTGGAAAAGAGTTTAAAAAACTAACCAGAAATGCTAAAAAGCTTGGTGCTGAATCCCTTGATTATTCAACACGGAAAAATAACAAATACATGGCAACACTTCCAAGTGGAAAAAAAGTTCATTTTGGATCACCAAATTATCCAGACTACACTATTCACAAAGATAAAGATCGACGAGATAAATATCTTGCTAGAGCTAAAAAGATTAAAAATAAACAGGGGGAGTTAACTTATACTAATCCTGAATCGAGTAACTATTGGAGTGTACATCTACTCTGGCCAGAAAAAAAGTGAATTAAAGATTTGATAAAAAATTTCAAAAATTTGATAAAAAAGTTCAAAAATTATGTTACTAGTAATTATGTTGATGATAATTTTAAAAAAGAACTTATAAAAGTTTTAGAAGAAGGATTAAAAGAAATTTCAGAAAGATTATATTCTATAGAAGTCACAATTGAAAATAAATTAATGCTTAAAGATTAAATTATTATAATAAAAAATGCAGCTGTCTAGTTACGAAAATATTACTCAAGACAATATTATCTTTAATGAAGCCAAAGAATTCAAAGTCAAAGATAGCAAGATCAAATACAAAAGTATCCCAATTGAAAATATCAAATATCCAAATGGAAAGAAAGGAGCTTTGGTAGTTGAAACTCCACTTCTTTTCAGCTTTGGTGTTAATGAGAAGAAAAATCAAGAAACAAACAAGTTAGTTGGTTATAGTATGTCAGTATGTCTTTGGGCTAAAGATAGTGAGCCGAATAATGAAGAAAAAGCATTTTTTGATGCTATTAACAATGTAACAACTCTTTCTCAGCATCATTTAGAGAGTGAATACGGTTCAGATCTAGCATCAAATCTATCTTCACCATTTTATCACAAACAGGAAGAATATATAGATAAGAAAGGAAAGAAGAAAACAAGAATAGATCACTCATCCGCTCCAGTTCTTTACGCAAAACTTATTTACTCAGAAAAATCAAAGAAAATTTTATCTTTGTTTAAGGGAAAGGGAGGTAAGGATTTAAATCCTTTTAAATATATTAACCAGTATTGTAATGTTAAGATGGCTTTGATAATCGAAGGAATATTTATTAGTAAGACTGTAACATCTTTACAAATAAAAGTACATGAGTGCTATGTCAAACCACTTAAACCTAGAGAGGCTTTACTAACAATTGAAGAGGAAAATGAAGATGAAGATGAAGATGAAGAGGTTACTACTGAGAAAGTAGTTATATCTGATGAAGAAGAAACTGAGTAAATAATAGGATTTTATTTTAATACATTATTTGTATTAAAAATCAACCAAATCCTTAGAACTCACCCATGAGTTAAATTTATCAGGATATCCACTCCATTTCACTAATGCCATTTTCTTTTCATCATCCCTCCTGATAATCTTTTCTATTCTAAATGTTTGTTGTTTTGCTTTTTGTAATTCTTGTTCGTAGAAAGAACCCTTTATCTCTTCTCCCATCAAATCAACGATGTTATATGTAACAGGTTTTGTTGGAAGAACTTTATCAATCACAAATATCTCCTCTGTCCAGTTTGGTGTGTAACCTTTATCAAATACCTTCCTCTTATAATTAGAAATTCTAACACGATCACCAATTGCAAACTTTGATTTACCAGGTTTTAAGTAAATAGAATCACCGTAAAATTAGACCAAACTTTACTTTCATTTTTCTTTTTACTTGCTTCAACAGGAGTCATTTTTATACTAGAATGTCTCGCATTATTGTAATCATTAACTAGTTTATCTATCTTGTCCCAGTAAACAGTGTTGTTATTCACAGTAAACATCTTCCACATTCTGTTTTTCATTGTTTTATTCCATCGCTCAACAACACTAGATTTCTCTTCGTTTTCTGTGTGATACAGTTTGATACCCTCTCTTTTAAGAAAATCTTTGAAATGTTTACTGATAAACTCAGAACCTTTATCTGTCCATAACATTTGAGGTTTACGTTTACTTTTGAATATGTCCTCAAATGCTTTAATGACAGTTTCAGTTTTTTTGTCTTTTAGCCCCCTAATCCAACCATACTTACTAAACACATCAATAACCATCAACAAATATTTTATCCCTTTATTCCATTTACTAAACTTTTGCATTTCAACTAAATCAGCATCCCAGATATCATCAATTCCGTTTGTCACCACTGATCTCTTCTGAAAGTTTCTTGTGATTGGTTTGTGTAGTTCGTCGGCTAATTGTTGAGACCAATCACTACTCAACGCCGGAGCGCGTTTAAACCAAGTCCAAGTTTTTGTTTAGTATTAATCATTGTTCTAGCTAAAGTATGGCCCCATTGTCTTTTTTTCCAAGGAATTGCATCCAACGATTTCACCATCTTTCTGTCAGCTTTATTTTTACACTTTCGGTCATCACCACAAACACTATAATCAACATCATGCTGAATGGCCACAGCATCGGTTGGTCCAGTTGGTTGATCATAAATTTCTAATATTTCACCAGTTTCTGGATTGTATTTTACTTGGTTTTCGAGATCATTATAAGGGCCTGTATATTTATGTCCTGGTAAGGTCCATCCTGCTTTTGGTTTTGGTAGTTTTCCAATCATTTTGTGAATGTCAACTCCTGAACCATATTTTTTTTTAATCTCTGCTACAGATTTGTATATTTTGTCGGTTCCTAAACCATTACTGACAAAATCTTTTACATGAGCATATCCAATTTGTTTGCCCTTTTGCTTGACAATCATTATGGGATTTCCTTCTTTAAAATAAAATTTTTTACCATGACTACGAAACACAGTTGTATCACCTGTCCAGAAATTGGAAGTAAATATTCCATCTTCTGAATTAACAACACCTTTGGCAATATCACCAGACCAATAATCTTTGAATACTTGCTTTGTTTGAGGAAACAAGGTTTCTGAAATTTTTTGACCCACATTTATTCCTGTTTTGATCGGGTCAACAGTATCACCAACACCTTTGCCCGCCATCACTGACGGGCTAATTAGGTTTTTGACTTCTTTTTAGTTTTTCTCTTTTTTCCACTTCCAGTTTGAGAAACTGAACCTGATTTTACATATCTAGCTTTTTTAATTCCACAAAACGCGCAATGACAGAAGAATTGAGTTCGTCCCCTTTTATCATTTTGGTAACCACTTGGCTCTGTGCAAGGAGTTACTCTTTTATCTTTAATGCAATATGATTCTTTCATTTAATATAATGTTTAGATAAAATATGTCTACTAGATCTAATTTTCTGAAAAGTGAACTTCAAAAGATATATAATAATTTAAACATGAGTTATGAATATGCTGATTTTGCTAGATTGGAAAATGATACTAAATTTATAAAAATATTTGAGTTGCTTATGGAAATAAGTGAGAAATCAAATACACTTAACAAAGTTGTAAAAGGTAATTGTCTATTTATATAATAAAATGGAAGCCAAATTCTTTTCTGAGGTAGAAAAAAAGATGGATGTTAAAACACTAAAAGATTTCGAGAAAGATGTACGAACACAAATAAATAATGAGTTGGAGTCTCTTAGAAAGAAAAATGATGATCTTTCTAGAGTACTAATGGCTGGTGAATGTGAGATGTGGGAAAAAATTCGAAATGAGGAATATTCTTGGTTGCAAATAAAGAGTGATAAAAAGAAGAAACTTTATCATCTTATAGATATTTACTCGAAATTTGATGATATAGTTGATAGTGTTAAAGATCTAAATACAAAAGTTGATAGGGTTAAACAGCTAAAGGATACACCGGTGGATTCAGACTAAATATAAATTTTATATTTAGTCTTAAGAGAAATATTCTTTTATAAAATCACTGTTGTCATTATCAAAATGTGGGTTATGTATTACATTAAGAATACTATTACCCCGTTGTCGCTCAAACAGATAATAGAAACACCAGTAACCACAGAGAACAGTATTGCGATTTTGTATTTCATCCATTGAGTACACTATACGTTTTCGAGAAGTATGAAAATACTCTAATGCTTCATTTGGTATTATTAAACCAAATGGATCAAAGTACTCAACTATATTGTCTATATTTCTGTAACAAACCCAGTGTGTTCCAGGGCCAGTCATGTCATCGAGATTGATTATTCCACATTCTTTTCTAATCTTTTTTGGTAGACCGTCACGACTGTATATTCCTCTAAAATGTTTAATACCAAGTTTCTTTACCCAATCGATGAGGTCAAAGTTGGACAACGCCTTAATTACAAAATTGTTCCGAGAATTGGAATTGAGTTGAATGGGCTGTTTTTTCCTAGAAGAAGACCTTTTCCTTTGGACTTGGACTTTTTTTTTTAACTCCCATTCCTATTGGGTTTTCCCAAGTACCAAAAAAGGGAGGAGATTGATAAGGATAACCTTCACCATATGTTGATGGAGGAGGTGGAGGATGTGGAACGTAAACATTTGCTGTATTAGATGATGAATGTCTAATATATAGATTTAGCCACGGCTAAAAGCGAAGCTCCCATTGATAAATTTATAACTTAAATCAAACAATAGTTTTGTATTTCACAAATCAGTTCACTTAAGGGCACATTCATGTGACTTTCGAGGGAAAAGCTAAGTGATTTTGGAGTGAAACAAATCTTGTATCGAGTTGATATAGCCTTATATGTACACCCGAAAAACAGTCTTCGGTCACACGTAAGAGCAATAATGGCTCTTGATCACAGTAGATAAGGCGTGGAAAAAAATTCTTGGAAAACAAATCAGGCCGAATTTTTTGCGTTCGACAAGTTTACAAATTCTTGCCAATAAATCTGGGTGCGTGCAAACCAATCTTTTATTTTTTTATACACCACATCTGAGGAGAAAGAGTACTATGAGGCGCTGTTTTTATCATAAAGACCTCGTACAAAATGCAGTATTTCACAATTTTTCAAGACAAATTGCATTCATTTGAAATATTCAGGACCATCGAAGAACGCGTGGACTTTTAATTAGCGAAACCGTTCAAAAAATTTCCAAAATCACCCATACGGCCAGCCGGTTCTAACTTTTGACAAGCGCCAAATTTGCGAAGAAATTTTAAAAGAGTTACGCTTCAACGTGATAAAGAATTTATTGAGTCTATTTTTTATTAATGGTTTTATAACGATGTGTAATCTTAAAAAGCGTTTGTTACGCTCGGCATTTTGAGTACTCCTGCAAGCTATGTTTATGAACGGCTGAAAACAAACGGCAAAGCAATGAAAATTACGCGTTTAAGACTACCAGTAATCAATAAAGAAATATAATTCGGTAGAACATTTACAGAGACAACAATTTTCATTCACGAAAACAAATGAGTATTTAAGTGTGTCTTAGAATCCTCAAGTCTTTACGAGTAAGCTTAAAGATTAAGTTTATGTTTTAAGCCGCCGGTTTCCCGGTTTTTTGCTGTTTTTAAAGATGAACTCACGACTAGAAAATCGCCCAAAGCTTTCTTTCTACAGCCAAAATTATAACTAAATATTCTTCCGAAAGTTTTTTCTTTCTATTTACGGTGAATTAATATCGACTAAAGGCTTTTTAAAGTTCTGTAAGCTTAACCTTATTTCAAATTAAACCTCATACTAAGTCAGATCAGTGTCTCAGTCAAATCTTAATACAAACGTGCATAAACTAGCTTCATAAACCGCGCCGCTGGACTTCATGAAATTAGATATAAATACAATGATTACTCAGGCTAACCATATTTCGAGATGCAGCTCCTGAAAGCTATCAAGTAAGGCAAGGATCGCTTGAGCCTTTATAATTCTCCTACGCATCCAGCAAGGTGAAAAACAAAAACGATGCCATCCGAAATCGGATTATCGGCTTTGACAAGCGACGCATTTTTCAACCAAAAACCCAATAAACAAACCAGCCATGAATAAGAGAACACTCTTGATAGCAGCTGTATTTCATTTTGTGCATCCAGTGGAAAAAGACAGTTAAAAACATCACAAGTTGACTCAAAACTCTGTCAGCTTCAGCTGTCAAAGTAAGCAACTTTCAAGATGCTGCATAAATTTTACGCATGAACTCACCTGTCAAATTTTAACCAATCAGAGCATAAAAATTGGACGTAGAGCGTGACCAACGCGTGACCATGGTAAGAAAAGGTCTTCCCCGCCTGTATTTTTCAATAACTGGCTGAATTTTCGTGTCCGAGGTAAGTTTGAAGTCAAATTCTTAATAGTGCTGGGCCATAGTGACATAAACAAGACATATTTCATATATATTTTTAAAACACAAACTTGAGCCTGCGATCATTTGAAAAGTAG